TAGGGCCCATCGCTGTTGGAGTCTGGTGGCAGCTCCAACGGCTCCTTCTGGGCCACAACAGGTGGCTGATCCAAAAAGGCATCTACAGAAGAAGTTCGTTCCTTCAAGTTTCCAAAAAAAGAATGTGGAGAATTCAACTGGCATCCTTCTGTCTCAAAAAACGATGGTATCGTGCTCTGGAAAGAGGTCCTAACGCAGCATCTGGTGTGGCTACAAAGTCCAATTCGGGAGTGGCAATCCCTTCCACACTGAGGGCAGATACATTCTGTCCCCTGCCCAGCGCCCAGATTTTGCTGGTTCCAGGACTGCCTCTTTGCCTCATCCTGCCAAACAAGAGTCTCTTCAAATTGGAGAAGGCCACGCTGCTGTCTGTAGCCTCCAAAATGAATGATCAGAGGTCAAGGTTTCCCAGCTGTTGATGTCCACTCCCAAGGCCTTTAGATCCCTCTGGCAGATATCCTTGTACCGCAGCTGTGGTCTCCCTCTGGGGCACTTTCCCTGCACGAATTCTCCCTACAAGAGATCTTTCGGAATCCGACCATCGGCCATTCTCACGACATGCCCAAGCCAGCGTTGACGTCGCTGTTTCAATAGTATGTACATGCTAGAAATTCCAGGTGCCCTATTTGGAACTTTGCCACACCAGGTGATGCCAAGGATACGTCAGAGACAGCGCCTATGAAAGGGGTTCAACTTTCTCTCCTTCCGTACGTAAAGGTAAGAGTCACACAATACATCCAACATGGATTGGTTTCCTTCAGTCTTGGCTGAGCCGACTCTGGGAATCCAGACACCGTACTATGGAAACCTTGGTTTACAACTTCTAGTGTTGCACAAACTCAACAAGCCATGAACTTGAGAAGCCTCCTAGTCTTCTTCCTTACCCAACACAGCTAGAGCTTCTTTGGAGTTGTCCATGGTGCTGCAAACCTCATCACTCTTTGCTTTCTGGCCTGCTCACCACCATTCTCTCATCAAACTGCAGTAACATATTTATCTTATCCAGGTGAATTGTAGAAGACCCCCCCCCTTCGCACCCACACCAGTGGCGGAGGCCTTGAACCATGACGTAGGCATCCAACCACCAGCCCTTGTCCTCAGGCCACCTTCTCTTCTCCATGGTGGCTCTCCTTGACTTCAAGGCGGACCCTTCTATCTGGGTGGGACAGCTACCCCAACTTCAAAGTTCAGATTGTCATCAAGGTTAAAGGCTGTTCTATCCTCTAATAATTGCGATGGGATTTTTATTCATCGGCTTTCTACTCCTGGGGAATCAGTTTGGAACAGAGCAACGCACTTTTTAAAGATAAGGAGGAAAAAAGCATTTCTGGTAGAACTTTTCTTTAATTAATGGATGCAGCCTGAGATAATTTAACTCCGTACTCCACTGCCACATTAAACTTTATGTAGCTTTTCTGATGTCTAATTATCATACTTTGCAACTTAGAGCAGGGAAGGATGGGGAAGGCTGGGCGGAAGATCCATGATTAATTTTTACAATTTCCAGGGTGGGGGAAAAGAGGAACTCGTAATATAATACAAACACAGAGTCCGAGGCAGTGGATCTGGAGTTAACATTTTGAAAAATCTGCAGAAAAAACTCCAAAAAGGTACCACTTGCAATTAAATTCTGATAAAAATCAAGACCGGCGTGATTACTCCGAGTATTCGGAGACTACAACTCGTCCAGAATGCAGCCGCGCGAGCGATTGTGGGTGCACCTCGGTACACCCACGTTACACCTATCCTCC